AGTTTTTCTTTTTCTTTTTCTTTTTCTTTTCTTCTCTGAAAAAAAAAAAAAAATTTTTTTTTTGTAGTAATCTCGGGTTTTTATTTTATTATTTTTTAATCGGGTTTAAGGTAGTTTTTTCAGTTTTTTCAAGTAATATCACTATTAATATTTGTGATTATTAATATAATATTAAAATGTGATAATAAGAAAGAATGAGATTAAATTGTGACTCATTTAGATAATGGGAAAAAGACGGAATAAAGTGATGATGATGATTATTATTATTGTTGTATTAAATTTCGGTTTAATCGGTTATTACATATATATATATAAAAAACACAGCCGAAATGAACTCAACTTATTAGGGAAGAGACTGTAAGGGAGATTAATTATATTTTTTTAAGTGTGTGATCGATAGAAGATCACCGGTTAAATTTTACTCACCTTTCCTTTTATCCCTAATTATGACAAAATGTATATATTAAAAATAAATAATAAAATAAGTACATACTTTGGAGGTACATCCGCATACAATATTGGTTTAGTTCATCAAAATTATCGGTAAGATTAACCCCTTCTACTTTTTTTTTAACAAGGAAAATTTTTGATTTTAAGACATATTCGTAATTTCTTTTTTTATGGTAGGAAAATTCTAAAAGGAATAATACAAAGGGGGGTTATTATAATAAATAATAATATGATATTATGATATATTATGATATTATGATATATTATATGATATTATGATATTATGATATTATATGATATTATGATATATTTATTATATGATATTTATGATATTATTAATATTAGATATATTTATAATATATTATTATTTTATTATATAATATTTTTATAATCTTTTTATAATATTTTTTATAATATTTTATAATAACTTTTTATAATAACTTATGTATGTAATCGAAATTAAATTATTATTTCGAATGAACTTTTATATAGATAGAAATCGATCCTAATAATAATAATATGTTAAACGTGGAAAATTGTTATATAAAATAGCTCTCGGTTGAGATCGATCTCTTCACGACTATCAACTCATCCAAATTTAGAAAATGGTTTGTTCATCTTCTAGTTACAACAGAGTTTAAGATAAACTCCGTAAACTCCGGACAAAAGTAATTATAATGATAACTTTATTTAGACGCTGCATTTGGTACATAATTCTGGTAATCATTTTTTTTTTTAATTTAATTTTACCGAATATATTAAAATTTCATGCACGCAGTTATTAGTTATCGCGTGTACATGATGAAAAAAGATACCAATAACCTGATTGCTTAACATTCTACGAAAGGATATGTGGCGCAATATTAATTAACCGAAATAATAAATTTATAAAAACGCCAATCACAATATTTTTTTATTTTTTTTTTTTGAGACGTTTTTGTATTTTTTTTTTTTAATAAAAAGGAACCATGGGAACCATATGGATACAAAGGAAATTTTTTTAAAAAAAATCTTTATTTATGATAAAGATGATTGGTTCGATTATCAATAATCGATAAATCGAATGGTACGTTTAAAAAAAATTTTTTGACTTCAAAATATTTATACAAAAAAACTTATTATTTACGGTATTTACATTTTTAATAACATAAAACAATTCATTTTACAAATTAGATTACAAAGTTTTAAGTGAAACAATATTAATAAAAAATAATTGGCTCCGATATATCATTGAAAATTTTTTTATTTTCAAAAAAAGAAAATTTCAAAGAAAAAAAGAAAAAAATAAATAATAACAATAATAATAACAATAATAATAACATATATATATATATATATAATATAATAAAAAACATGTTGATCTTCTAACGTTTAGATTAAGTCTGTATAAATAATCTTGAATTGTGTAGCATGATTCAGTGCCTGATTTAAACTTAAAAGTTAAGGCCATTTATTTGATCGGCAAACGTATAGATTTTTTTA